TTGGAATAATTTTAATATTTTAACATCTATATTTACTGAGTGTATTGAACAAAAATTATGATAACCAGGATTTATTTACTTAGAGTTTATCAAGTACTATTGTAGATTATACATAATGTATTTGTTTGTATATACAGGGTTCAGCACAAATAATGACTTTTTATTACAAAATCGTAAGTATGTAATTCCTAACAACATCACACTCAAGCACACCATCTGACATTTGAAGTGAAATGTTCAAAGTAAAACTATAAATTATTATACCCATATTATTACCCTACCAACCACACTCAAACAAGTGTTACTTCTGCTGGACCCTGTATTGTAAATATATTTTTAAATCTAGAACAGCATTTCCAGATAGACTACTCCAAGGACTATTAAGATTTCATTAGCAAAAAGTGTTCTGGCCACACATAAGTTTGAAAAATGCTAATTTGCATTATAAATTTCCAGAACAGAATGGAACATTTTCCAAACTTATTACAGAACTCTCTTCATTTAGAGTGTTTTTTAGCTGTGTCAGTATTCTGAATAACACAGTTGGGAAACAGTGAGTTAAAAGCCTGGACATTTTTTTTTTCATCCTCACTATAGCAAAATTTGTGTTAGCAAAGAAGTGGGGACATATTTTCTTTCTGCCATTTCAACACTTTTACTGAAAACAAGATCTTTCTTGTGTTTTCTACAGCACTTATGCTAGAAGCTGTAATGGCCTTTGCATTGTTTTTACACTCATAGATCCGTCTGTTCTCAGGTTTTCTACTGTTACTCATCAAACATCAACACAAAGAGATGCTTGATTTCTTTAAAAATGAACATAAAGTTCCAGTAAACGTGTGAAGCACATTCAATTAATACATTTTAAATTAGTTAGAACAATGTATACTTATAGATTAAATATAACCCAATATGATCATTAATCAGCAACGTGTTACTCATGTTTTTGGTAGAATTACTTTCCCTTCATGAGAATTGTCTACTTTAATGGTTCTGTGGTGTTCTTATGTTTCTTCATATTTTTTCTTTGAAATACGTAGAGCATAAATGATTTTTTTATACATATTTCCATTATTTCTTTAAAAGTCTAATGTTGGTTTAGTTCCCCCCTTTCAACCCTGAAAAATGGAGCAGGACAGAAGATTTGACTTTAAAAAGTACTGTTTATCTCCATGTCAAAGATAGAAAAAAGTTTTAAAAAATAGTAAAAAAAGAAAAAGTCAAGAGCGAGCACATTTTGCCATCAGAATATCACTTTGCTAAATATTCTCATCTTTTGCCTCAAAGTCCCTGCTTTGCTTAAACGGAGTACTGCAGAGCTAACCGAGAGTTCTGCAGCTCTGTCCAGCTGTCTCTCTTGGCCCGCAGGTGGCGCTACAATTCTCAGTTGTAAACATCAAAAAACAAAACAATAAAAAACCAAAATAGTATTAGAAATGTATATATCCCCTGAACAGAAAGACATATAACTCGTATACTGTATAATATCCCATTTAACTTCACACACACACAATGCAGCTCTGATTTTGGCTACTATATTGGTGAAAGATTTCTTGAGGTCTAACTCACCTGTTTTACTCTCAGTCCTCCAACCCAATTCAGTTGATTGTATTAAAACGTTTATTGAGATACAACTGACATATAACCTTGTATTGGTTTTCAATGTTCTGCACCATTATGATTTGATAATGTATAGATTGTAAAACGAAAACCTATTTCAAAGTCACCAACTACCTGCCGCAGAAGGAAGAAAACCATAATCACTGGAATCTCATACTACCTCATGATTAAAGTCAAAGAAACTAGAGTTGTGAATGTGCTGGTTGGTATCTTTGACAGCAGACTTTCAAAAAATATCCAGTTATTAAGTTTGAATCAACCTTGGAAATGTCCTGGACATAATGTAAGCAGAGGCTGGCAGCCACAGCTGTCATCTGTGTGTGCATCTTGTACCAATAGGGAACTTCCTACTACAGAAAGCAAACTTTTTTTAGAAGAGCAATTTCAAAATTTTATAGTTAAATCAAATAGGTTTTCTGGGTTCCTATGTACAACTCAAATGTTCATAACCTGTGCCACAGGAAAAAGAAAAATCATGATTCCAGTCCAGTGACCATTTCTGAGCAAGCTAATTCTTTAAAGAGTCAAATTTACAACTTGTTCTTTGCCACTACAGAGAATGTGCCATACATTAACTTGACCCAGTTTAATGTTACTATTACATTCTTTGTTTTGTTCTCTTTATATGTCTTCATCCTTTTGTGCTATATGTATTTTTGGAAGCCACTTCAAATATTTTTTAGAAGAGAGTAAGATATAAATAAACTTAACTTTTAAAATCACTTAAAATATTAAGTCCCCACAGTTCAGGTTATAGCTTTCATTGTTGCAAATATAAATAAGGTCTAAGTGCCTACCATGTGCCAGGCACTACTCTGGGTATTGGGGGAAACACTGGTAAATAGTGTCAGAGAAAACTACAGTGGAGAAAAATAAAGCAGGAAAGAGGGATGTCATAGGATGGTGGTAAAGCTACAATTTAAAATAAAATGGTCAAAAAGGGTCTTACTGAAGGGACAAATCATGACTTGAAGGATCTGGAGAAAATGAGGGATGAAACCACATACGTAACCAAGGCAAGAGCATTCCAGAGCAAACTCATTATTTAGACCAAAAGTCAAACTGATATTAGCTCTTTTGTTACAGGTAGTATGAAGTGAAAAGAAACAGTCTCCCAGGAACCCAAATGCATAGAAAGGCAGTAGTACTAAAATGATACTCCTAGAAGAGCAACTGCAACTTTAAGGAAAAGATGCATTTTATTTAATAACCACGTACACAAATACACACACACACATAGACAGCTAAAACAGTATTTACTCTTACCAGGTGGGATGCACTGTGAAACTTTCAGGGAATATCAAGTACAAAGTTCCTGAGGCAGAGGAAAGCTTTGCATTTCTGAGGATCAGCTAGGGGAGCAGGGTGGCTGTGGCTGACCGCTAGGAGATGGCAGAGGGGTACGGGGATACTAAGGCAGAGCAGGCAAGGCCTGGGAGGGCATTATAAGGACTTTGGCTTATAACTGGAGACGAGAAACAATTAGAAGTTAAATAACCTAGAAGAATTTACAGTATGGGAAACACCTAAAAGACAAATGGTAGCTGGAGAATCAGTCCACAAATATGTATTGAGTTCATTCTCTTTACTAGGATTTCCCTAAGCACTGGACATACAGAATTAAAAAAACACATATCAGTCCTTGTCCTCGCAAAGCTTTAGTCTTGTTTAAATGACTAAGCAAATAAATCTAACTATACTAGGTGTGAGACGAACTGGGTGATTTATGAAAAAATAATGAGGGAGGACAGTCTACTCTAGGCTAGGCATGGGAGAAGGCCTTGAAGAAAAAAGACATGTACGGTGATATCAGTAACATACGTAGGAGTGAGTTAAGTGAAGAGGTATGAGGGACAAGAGCATTCTGAGCAGAAACTATCTGAAAAAAACCCTGAAGAAAAAAACAAATGGCATCGTCAGGGAACTGGAAGGCCATTGTGGTTGAAGCTAAGTGAGCCAAGAAGGATGAATGAAGATTTGGGGTTGAACTGTAAGGGCAATAAGACACCAAGAGTTTAAAGCAGGAGACCAAAAAGATTAGTTTTTGGTATTTTTAAAATATGACTCTAAAACAATGAGAGTAGAAGAGGTAAGACTGAATTCAGCACACCAGTCAAGAGCTATTGTAGAAGTACAGACAAAGATGGAGGTAGCATAAGCATGATGCACACGAGAACAGAAATCGATGGATAGTTTGAAAGATATTTAGGAGGCAGAAAAGACAGAATTTGATGATGGATTAGTCATGAGGATGAAGAAGGTCAAAGACGGCCAAGGCTGCCTAACTACTTTTCTTGACCTTTTCCATAGAGAAAAAAATACATTATCAATGTGATTCTTTTGGGAGGGAGGAACAAAAAAAGGTTGATCATATGTGACAAATGCCATTGTTGCCAATTGTCATAAAGAGGCTCAATTTGTACAATCAGTTTGTTCTATTTCTACCAATGCATAAAGTTTGACTTTGTTCAAAAGCAAAGCAGTTGGAGTCTACATTTTAAGTCTTCTGATAAATATTCATGTTGCTAGGATTATATACATTTATATAATTTATAGGAGGGAAAACCAATATTTTCTACAATATTCCATCCAAACTTAACTACTCCCAGGGCACCAAATACAATTTCCCAGTACACTAAAGAATTAGTTCTTTGCCAATAAATTGGAAGGTATGACCCTTAGAAGAAAAAGCCATCCCCTATTGTCGTCCATAGGTTCTATAAGACCACAGCTGTTACCAAAAAGAGGATACGTGTTTTTAGAGGAACAGTTGAATAAGTTAATGTCAGTGACTTGTTTATTTTAAACCATTAAAGATAAATTTAGTTATTCCAAGAAAAAAAAATGGCATTTTCTCTTCTAGAGACCATCAGATTCCTTGTCATGTGAACTCTGTTCTCTTAGCCTCTCTTCCAGGGAATCCTCAAACAATGCGAAGTGGGAGTCTTTTGTTTTCTATTAGGCCAGAAAAATAACAGTAAAATTTTTTAAAAGAAAAAAAATTTCATATAATATTTCTACTAGTATGAGGTTGAACCAACCTTAAGTGTTATTAACAGTCTGGCATCAGAGCAAACGGTCTTAGAATGTTAAATAAAATTAGACCTACAGGCTTTCTCTGTACCCTGAAATTTTTAAAAAAACAAAAAACAAAAAAACCTCAACAACTCATTATTTAGACCAAAAGTCAAACTGATATTAACTATTAATTCTTTGTTACAGGTAGTATGAGGTGAAAAGAAACAGCCTCCCAGGAACCCAAATGCATAGGAAGGCATTAGTACTAAAATTTTAGTACTTTAGTAAAATTTAGTAAAGGCATTTTAGTACTAAAATGATACTCCTAGAACAGCAACTTCAACTCTTAGGAAAAAATGCATTTTATTTAATGACCATGTACACAAATACAAACACACATATTCACACACATATTCAGCTAAAACAATATTTACTCTTACCAGGTGGAATGCATTGTGAAATTTTCTGCTCTATGTTCTTTTATTTTTTCTTAAACAACTCACAATTTAGTAATAAATTTTATAAACCACAAAGTTGTAACACATAAGAGCTCTAAAGCATTATCAATGCTAACTTATAATTTTAGGGAAATTTATAGTCTTCCCCCTTTTTAGAACTAACCCACAAGAGTATTCTATGTATTCAGAGAAAATAAAAGTTGATATAGCCTTGTTGCCATATATCCAGCCTGGACTTGGCGCCTGCTTTCATGTGCTTACATCACTATCTTCCCAGGCCCCAAAACTGAGCAAATGACTTGCAGCTAAGTAACAGGACCCTATGTCTGTATGCACTTTTGACCTAAAAATGTCCTTTTTATGTTCGTTATTCATTTTATTCTCACAACATCCCTGTGAGGTAGGCAGGCAAAATATTACCAGATTTACTTTACAGATGAAGTTAAGGTTCAGAGAGATTAAGTGACTGTCCTGGTTATCAAATAACTAGAAAGAGGCAGAGAAAATAAGAACCATTAACTTTTGGGTTGAGGTGCTTCGCTCTAAACCACAGAGCTTCTGAGAGTATAATCTGACCTCAAATATTTTTACCACTTCATCCTCCTTTTCTTACTGTTGACTCAAGTTTTTATAGGATACAACAAAAGATGTGATTCTAAACGTGTCCTCTCAAGTTTATGCTTCTCTACCAATGAAAAGTTATGGCCGCAGGATATAGATTCTTTTAGAAAGCACTGCTTCCTCAGCTCTAGTCTAAAAGAACATAAGCAACAGGAAAGACCCTAAAGGTGAAGGAAATTGAGAGACCAGAGAGGAGGCTATAAAATGGAATGAATTAATGGATTTTAGTCCCTTTAAGCTTTTACTTTTGTGACAGAGTTCAATGGAGAGCTTTAATATAGATGAGACTTGAGGCTTTTGAAGAGGATCTAAGTCTTGATGAAGTTATTCAAACTCAAATCTTGAACGCGTGATGATGGTAGGCCTCGGGGTCTTCAAAAACTTGTACTTGATGCTTTAAAACAAAACAAAGCACACAAAAAAATTCTACTAGCAAAACTGGTAAAACTGTTTAAAGGATTTTGAAAAGCTATAACTCTTTGGCCAGTAATTAAATCAGATCACTATACACCATACTAAAAGAACAAAAGGAGGAAAAGAAAACAAAGAGATTTTTAAGATATACTGTACAGAATAGCTTAATATATTCATTGCCTTATCTCTGATTAATATTCTTCACTTTAAATTGAAACGGAATTTAAAGTTCTTACTAAACCACCTTGGGCAGTAGTAAGATAAAATGATTTAATGATAATTTCCTGAAACTCTTTGATCACTACCCATGACATCGGTTTGTCTTAAAGGGCTTTTGATCTTTGAAAGCGCAGCCAAAATATTTGTTGGAGGAGGTGGCATACAATGAGGTTGATTTCATGGGGTGAAGAAACAAATTGAACTAGGAATATTATGTTTTGAAAATATTTAAACAGGGAAGAAAATGTAACAAAGCCTTAGAATGAAAAAATTCAGACCACTTTGCAGGTTCAAATGAATAACATCATAGATCTTACTGACTAGTTTTGTGCTATTTCTAACTTCCTTCTTTTTAGTTTACGTGCTCCTATAAACCTGCCTCCCCACCCCCCCGCCCAAGGAAATCTTTTGTTTTTAAAAATTAATAATTAATTTAGTAAGTAATATTTACTGAGTCTATACTTTGTGCCAGGCACTGCTCTAAACACTTTAAATAAATTCATTTCGTCCTCAAAGCAATCCCATGAATTAGGTACTACTATTATTCTCAATGTACAGATGAAGAAACAGAGGCACAGAGAAGTGAGAAATTCAGGCAGTTTATTTTACCTAGCCAGGAAACAGCAGAGTCAGGATTTAAACTCAGGTCTTCTGGCTCCAGAACATCAACCTTCACCGAGTACTCTACAAAACTGGGTTTAATACAACAAAATTTACCAGCACAAAGGCTTTCGCAAATCAGCATCTGTCACAATCTTTCACTGCATATTCTGATTAGCATGTGTAGTGACTAACTTAAGTCGCCCAGCTGTAGTAATGCAGACTCAATATGAACAGTCACTTCTCAGAAGTGCCATTCTGCAGGAATGTCAATAGTTTTAAAATAAACCATACCACTAAAATGTTAACAGTAATAGAAGATTATTGGTGGCTTTACTCCTTTTATCTGTTTGGTGTTCTATATAACCTAATATCTCTCTCTCTCTCTCTCTCTCTCTCTCTCCACACACACACACACACACACACACACACACGGGCAAAAGCAGGTTTACAATAATAATGCAAATAAATAATACAGTAATAAAAAAATAAAAGATTAAACTGTTTCATGTGCTCACAACTGTAAACCTACTTTTGCCCATACCTGTGTATATATGTATATATAAAAGTATGTATTTATTTCTATATGCTAATTCTTGTAAGTAGACATAGATTACCTGTACAATGAAAACTTTCAAGGTAGAGTAATATGGCAATAATGAAATAATAATAGCTATTATTTACTTATCACCTAATATAGACAAACCTTTTACATACATTATCTTTACTCTTCAGTAAATTGTTATTCTCCCAGTAAGACTGAAGCTTGAAATGAATAATAAAGTTAATTAATAGAACACCTAGTAGATACTGGAGGCCAGATTAAAACCTGTCTTAACTATTCTAGAATCCATGATCTTTCTACTGAAAAGAGTAAATATAACTTATTAAAGTTCAGGCAAGCTTATCATTTTGAATATCCATTAACATAGAGCTGTTTTCACCTAATCAAATGGGCCCGCATTACTACAGCTTTAGAATTAGTTGATCTGCCTTCTGACTTTCTTCTTGCCCTTGCCTGTCAACATGCCTGCCCCTAATAGGAGCACTTGGCACACTAGCAATCTGCTGCTTCTAGTCCACTGTTAAGTAAGCCTGTTAGAACTACGTCTACAAAAAAGTAAATAAAAGTGAGAAAGGACCTGCAGTGAGCATAGTTTGTGTCTTATATTTTGGAAGCTCAGGTTAATTTTTAAACTTATTTCCTGATTATGGGTGAGTGGAGTTTGGTGGATAAGTAACCAGTAGATAAGTTAGCTATCGTTGTTTAAATACAAGAGATAACAAAACATATACTCATACTATAAAAAGTCATTTTATTATACTGTAAAAAAATTAGGTTTGAAAGGGACTTTCCTATTAACCTAGCACAAGCTCCCATACAATGAGAAATCCTCTCGGCAACATCTCTGCTGTTCAAACCCTGCTTAAGCAACCCTCATGGCCTGGCGTCCAGTGCCTCTAGAAACAATCTGCTCCTTTGTTGACTAGTTCTATACCTTCTCTCAGTTAGAATTAATTTTGGCCTCAACAGAAACAAATGTACTTCCTATGGAGTTTCTCCACCCCTTCCAAAGTCTTCTATTTTCTGAACAAAATAATCCCAGTCCCCTCAATCTAGATCAGCACAATTGTCCTTTCATACAACGTTTCTCAAAAATGATGAAAACAATTCTCTTTTCCTTCAAGGCATGTCTAACAATGAAACCAATTTTTGTACATTCATATTTTGTAGGTGAATAGATCTAGTTAATCCATCTTGGTCATATACGATTAGAATGCTAAGAAAGATTTAGGGACATAGCTCAAATTCAAATTGAACAGCAATAAATTTTTGAGTTCTCCCTTCTTTTTCCCCTCCCCCAAACAATACCACAAAACAGAACCTTAAAAGATACTCTTAACCATGACACATTGCTAGACTTAAGTTTTCTCACTCTCAGGCTTTCGTCTACCTTCCCATCACTTAAATCCTGTAACGGTCCTAAAACAAACAAAAATTCTTTAAGCTACTCTCACAATCATTAATTAGCCTATGACAGGCCCAGCTCTGAGGCCTTAAAATTCTGACTATTTTTTTCTGTTGGATTAACTGAGTATCTTCCTAAAATTTTTTTGTTTTCCAGAAAATTTTGTATATATTATACATATATAATATATATAATATGTACATACACTTTATATACACAATGTACTCTCTCTATATGTGCATAGACACACATGTATGTAGACATACCTATATATGAATCTTCCCCAGTTCTATGTTATCTACATGTAAGTTTTACATTCATGTTCATCTCCTTTCTTGCTATATGTTACCTTTGCCACATTCACCTTGACTTGGGAAAACACAATCAACCCTTGTATGCAATTCATTACTATCCATTCTCTTAGCAAGAATAAGGAGTCCCACTCTAGGCATCCTAGTTGTGATTCAACCCAAGGATCTCAAAAAGCAAAGCATCATTTAATCATAATGACCATAAGCAAAACATTCTGAAGTATGGTATAAAATACCTGACATACTACAACATGGTCGTTTCATTAATCATGATGCAGCCCCTAGATTAGTGGCCTTTTTTTATTTTAAACAGTTACACAATTAGTGGTATCATATGGATATGTATCTTATATAGCTTATTCTCAAGCAGGTCTCAAATAAATTCCTCTACTACTAAAATGAAAATTACTATATCTTTAAATTTCTTGTATAACTCATTTTATTCACCTATTACTATTATTCCAAATTTCCCACAATGGAAGTGCAGAAAGACAAAGATGGCCAGAGAGGTGAAAATCACCTGGAATTTTTGCTGAGTCCCAAGGCAAATATTCAGCCAATTCAATGTAATATCATCAATATAGAATATGACTATCCATATATAACTAAATGATCTTCCTGGTTTACTAAAAACAATCCATTCTTTGAAATGATTTAGGCCAATTCTAAAAATCAAAACAAAGTGAATAACTAAGATTTGTTTAAAATCTAGAGTCCCTAAATAGCAATTCAAATAAAACAAAATCCATCCCATTCAGTAATAATGAGAGGCCAGAAGAACCTTGCCAATGTAGGACAAACCTAGCTTGCAAACCGAAGTATCATCCATGTTACCTCAAGAAGTCAGCCACATGCTATAAACTATATAACAGCATTGAATTTGGCAGCACTAAACACTTAGTTCAGCACAAATTATTAAGCATGATAATCTAATGTCAAAGTTAAAACTATTAAAACATCGTCAAACCTTCCATGCAGCTCTGTAAAGGAACTTAACTCACTGTGCAACCCTGTTCCTCTGACTAGTGCAAGTAATTTATAAGAACAAAAGTTATAAGAAATAGTAAGTATTAGGCCCCCTAATTATGAAGTTAGCCTAAAGCTTTGCTGTTTGTTTCTTAAAAAAAAAAAAAAGGTTTTTTTATCCTCACCTGAAGACATTTTTTCACTGCTTTTAGAGAGAAGGGAAGGTAGAGAGGAAAGGAGAGAGAGAAACAGCAACGTGAGAGAGAAACATCAATGGTCGCCTCCTGTAGGAGCCCAGACTGGGGATCATATGTGCCCAGATTAGGGATCGAACCCACAACCTAGACATGTGCCCTGACTGGGAATTGAACCTGCAACAGTTCAGTTACAGAATGATGCTCCAACTGAGCCACACCAGCCAGGGCTATTTGTTTCTGAGTATTATAAAAATATCATGTTCACAGTTAAAAAAAAAATCCACCAGAAAGAGAATACAAAAAATTATGAGTCTTTTTTGTACTTCAGACCTGTAGTTTCATTCATCAGGAGTACTCCCCGTCTAGACAGATAGATAGATAGATAGATAGATACATACATACATACATACATACATAGGTACATAGATAGATATAGAGATAAATATAACATAATAGTGTATTATATAGATTTGAAAAATTTTGCATGTGTCTATAAATGTATGCTTTTAAAAACAAATGAAAACAGACTATACATATAGTTCTATATTGTTTTTCTCAGTTAACAATGTATCTCACAGAGATTTTTTCATATTTCCACCTATGGACCTGCTTCATTCTTTCTAAGAACTGAAAGAACTGCAAAGTACTACATTGTATGAAGGCATTTATTTATTCAGAACTTGATAGTTGTTTTTTAAATTTAACATAATATGATGATGAGTATCTATACATACAAATTTTTTATAAAAGTTCAAATATACCCAAAAGAGGAAACTCCTAGGACTGTTGTCAGATTTGAGAATGGAACAAATTCTAAATTAGAAGCCAGTGTATCTACAAAGGAGACCAGGAACAACACAAGTTTAATGTTAAGTGATTAAAAAGTTACCAAACATTATCACAAAGTTAGAAGTTAAAGTTTTAAAAATTAACAACCTCCTAAGCTAGGAAGGGTAAAATAGAAAAAGAGAGAAATTTTATCCCCTAGGCTGGAAAGATAAAAGGCCTGGAGAATGAATCATCTAAGAGATTTTTAAAAAGAAGAACAAAGAAGAAAAAAGAAAAACAAAATAGCACTAATAAGGCAGGATATGAAAAAAAAGACATTTTTGGGCCTCTTCTCTTGCTTCAACCTAAGGCATAAAATTGGCCGCAAGATTTGAGACCTGTATTATTACAGAGCCAAAATTGGATATGAGATGATTTAAATGACTATTTGAGGCTTCATTCCTACAGGACAGATTGATAGGTCGATACACTCTACCAGACTTTAAAGTGTTGTAAGGAACTTCTAAAAAAAAAAGGAAGGAAGGAAGGAAGGAAGGAAGGAAGGAAGGAAGGAAGGAAGGAAAGAAAATAGAAGGAAGGGAGGGAGGAAGGGAAGGAGGGAGGGAGGGAAGGAAGGGAGGAAGGAAAGAAGAAAGAAAAAGGGACGGAAGGGAGGGAGGAGAAAGCAGAGTAGTAATCTTCCAGGAATACTATATCTTGTCAATCACTTCTATTTCTGATCAATTTTATGGGTAAATAGTAATGACTGCCTCATAAACACAGAACAAACCTCTCTTTGGAAGGTCCACATTAAAACATAATTTTAAAGAGATTCAGCCTATATTTTCAATCATAATCGTACAATTTCCTAGACCAATCCAGGGCTATTCTCTCATCTAACATAAAACAGAGTCAATAACTTACCTTGCCCAAAGTGCTAGGATTTGAATGCCACAATACAAAATGACTCATGTTTTTGTCCATTAATGGTCCGTGGATTTCTTTAAATGAAGTTCATGTTAGAGTCCATGGATGTCAGTGTTCTGCAAAACTGAAAACCTCAAGAATGTCAATGCACACACCTAAGTTACCACTTGGATTCCAATTTATTACAAATAATAGTTATAATAGTTACTATTATGAATACAGACATTTAGATATGCAAAATAAATGGACATGACATTTAACAGCAGACTGAGGTAGCAAAATTAGACTTTAAGTAAGACATTAAAATTAATGTAAATCTAGAGGATCTCAAAACCTTACTTTCTACCATATTTATACGTATTGTAAAGTTGACACCATAGTAGGAGCATACAGTGATGGAGGTGATTTGGATACCAACACTTTCCAGACACTGGGAAAAGAAGTTTGAAAGGCAGGCAAACTTTTTAAATTTAAATGACCACAAAATTTATTTACATATCTACCTTTGTTATTTCCAACCTATTTTTAGGAACATCTTAGATTTTTTAAATCTAAAAATGTTCACTAGTTTCGTCTTTATTTTTAAAAGGTCATACATTCCAATCTAATGATAAAATTCTAGAACCTCTAAGAAGCTATTATTACTTCATGGGACTAGTGATTCATGTCCAGATCCCATTACACAGCCTGACAACCGAAAACAATGTGGTTACAGTACTAGTTCTTTAGGTCTATTCCCACTCCTTATCATATTTAAGACATCTAAACAAATAGTTTACAAAGGAAACAATTTAATCTTTAGGGATTTATTCTTTTGGAGGCTTCCTACAACTGTTTGGAAGAAGTTAACCTTATGTGAACACACCAGGTGAAAACTTTGTTATGAAATAATTCTCATTTACATCTCAAATGTTAAATACCCCAATATAAGAAAGATAACATTAAGAAAAAGTGAATTCATATTTATGAAAAGAAAGCACTTAGAACAAAGTTTTAGAAGCTCAGTGCTACAAATGCAGCTTATCATTTGATGGCCAACTCCTCCCCCGTATCATTCATCTGGAAGTTCTTTCCAGAAAAGTGAAGGTAGCTGAAAGACGCCAAATGAATCGCCTTATCCTCTCTACCCGCACCGGGGAAAAACATGAAGACACATTTCTAAATTTCAATAACCACAAAACAACAATGTCCTGAATCTCTACTGCACCGGCATCCTCATAAATCACTGGTCGACATACTTAAGCTGGAATCACTTCTCCATTCAGAGGTAGGGACACTGAAATTGGGGAGAAGGCCCCCCCGCCCCCCACCCGAGCTGAGGCAGAACCAGCTTCGTACGTTCATTAGTTCACGTCCGACAGCATCTAAAGAATGCCTAATAGTGTGGCAAAGCACTGTCCTGGATGAAGTCTTGAGGAGACCAAGTCTCTGTCCCCTACGAACCGAGCTGCCCTACGAGGTCAGTGTAGGTGGAATATTAACTCTAGGTCAACTCTTCTCGGTGTCCGGGCTCCATCTCTCCACCCCCGAGCGCCAATGCTCCGGAGCCCATGACCCCCAGCCACGTCCGATTCCTCGACGACTTTGGCCCTCACGACCCCATTCCCAAAGTTCCTCGCATCCCTATCACCCCAGAGAGTCCCACGCCAAGGAGCCTTTCCCCCAGCCACCCCTCTAACGTGAGATCCACCTCCACCGGCCCGCGCGTAAGACCGCGAGCAAAGTCGGCCACCAACCCTAACTCCCACCCTTGCCCGGGTCCAGGTTCGGCCAGCAGGTTACCTGTGTCCGGGATCCGAGGTTCCAGGAGGACCACTGAAGGGGTTCCCCGCCCATTGCGACGCCCTCCACGACCTGGCACCGCCTTCAGGGCGGGACTTCCTGCGCCTCGCATCCGGCCGGTTGCCACCAGAGCCAGAAGCTGCTCAGCGCCCAATCCATCCACTGAAGTCATTTCCGACCTGTACCGCAGTTCCCTCGGGATCCAGGCGGTCTCCAAGCCTTGTTTACCGGTAATAGTTCAGCTGAGGCTTTATCCTTAGAACAAAAAAATTCAAAGAATGTTAAAACTGAAAATAATTTTAGAGATAATCATTTAAGTGGAGTCTCAAAATGCTCACCACCTCCCCCACCTCATACCCCCAAGTGTCTCAAGGTGTTCATAAGGTAAAAAGTCCACCTTGAAGACCTTCACTCTCAAGTAAAAAAAGAGCTAGGAAAATCCCAGCCCACAGCAGACCAGAGCAATTGTAACCTAGGAGATACAACACAATTCTGATGATCATTTTGTTTAAAGTAATATAAATTTAGCCACTTTAAAATGGAGCTGGATTTGCCACCGCAGAGGAACTGCCTTGCACATCTTAGGGCTCAAACCTTTGGAATGTTGAAACAGGGCAAAATAACCTTTGAACTGAGCCTAAATCAACATTATGCCCCAAAGAACTGTTTGCAACCATAACAAGAAAGCAGATATGACTACTGGACTGAAGTGTCACTATGTTAGCTTTTCTGCACCAACAGAAATGCTATCCTTTTATTAATGTAATTTTTCCCCTTTCCTTTTTCTTAAAAATCCCTTGCCTTTGTATTCTAATTGGAACACTATTTGGGTTTCTGCCTGAGTCAGTGATTCCCCCAAAAAGCTATTGTTTTCTATCTCGAATAAATGCTTGTTGCCTTTCACTTAGAAAGGCCTTTGATTTTTTTAGGTTAACAATTTGAACGATCTGGTCTGGTCACTGCTGGGTTCATTTCACAAGCAGTAGCCCCCTCTTCTGTGAGCCCTACCTTCAATTTTAACTGGACAGACAGGAATAAGTTACTGATCCAAGCAGTTCCTGAAGGTAAACATAAAGACTGTGAATGCACTGCCCATGACATGGCACAATTTTATTTAGACTTTTCTATGGGAAGCAATTTCTCTTAAATATACAGCCTTTGTTTTTGGACTATGACAAAGCTAACATAGGTATTAGTAGTAAAATTTTGGTAATGACTCTGTGTTCCAAATAACCAGGTAATCCCGTAGACCTACAGAATAGTTGGCATAAATGAATTTAAGGTTTTTTTCCAACTCTTATAAAAAAAGGCCAATGATATTTTTAATGAGTCTAGGGACCATAGGGATTAAATAATCTGAAAATCACTGAATTAGCCAGGGGCAGTCAGTTTTAGAACCTAAGCCTCCTGACTCCATTCATTCATTTATTTATTCAGCCATTAGAGACACCAGGCCAGGCTTTAGGGATACAAAGATGAATAAGATAATCCTGCCTGTAAGGAGCTTCCTATCTGGTGAGGGAGGCAGACCTTTTAGTGGAAAAATAATTCAATGTCAATGTTATCATAGATTCATCTAGTTCCTTCATTCAACCAATACACTTTCCCCCATGCTCCCAATATACTAAAAGTTGATAAAAATAAATACAAAATATGATGTTCTGAATTAAATTTTAAGTCATTTGAACAGCATTTTTAAGAATTTCAAATAATCATAATTTATACAGCTGTTAGAGTCAGCTTGTTTGGGTTGTATGCCTAGCTCTGCCATTAAATAGCCATATGAACTAAATTACTTCACTTCTGGGCTTCAATTTCCTCTTGCAGGTCCTTTCTAGAGAAGGCCTTGTTCGGCCCAGGAGAAAATGCATGGCACTTCCCACTGTGACCACTAGATGGCCGGCTAACTTTCTCCCACCCTCCCTCCCTTCCTACCTCTTGGCTTTTCTGACCAAAGTCATCATCACCTATCTGAACAGCTTCTTATACGGGTAACAACTGAGTATCCAAAGACTCCCAGAAATGACAGGTCTGAAATGTTTCTTGAAAAATGAAAGAATAGATGGATTCCAGGTCTCATCTGTCTCATACTACTACTACCCCTTTCTCCTATTAAAATACTTCAGTACTTCCTCTTTTTGAAAGCTAAACTGATAAGAAGAGGAAGAAAGGATGAGATAATATGTAGGAATTGGGTTAGGAGCAGAATGCAAGTTGGATTGGGAGGGAAATGCAAAAGCTATTGCATTGCATTGCATTGCATTGCATTTCAAAGTGAACATTAGTACACTTGACTTATGAATGAAATAATGTCTAAGACTTATTTTAAAATCATATGGGAATGTTCAGATGATTAAGACTGGTCATATAATGATATTGTTGAAGCTGGGTATATTGCGTTTCATATTCTTTCTTTGTGTGTGTATGCTTGCAAATTTACACAATACAAATTTAAAAATAAGAGAAACCGTGAGTGCATTTTCCTTGCTCTAGACAAGACCGAATTCATACTATCCCACTGAATCTCAGTTAGGATACCTTTGCCTGACATTACAGAAAACTTGTCACGGGTTGATTTTTTTGAAAGTAGACACCGATACGGAGATGTGGAGAATGATTTTTTTTTTTTTAATTAGGAATGAACAGCAAGCAGAATTGGTCAGAGGAAGAAGCTGAACTACTATTCAGGCCCAAGGAAGCCTCAGCCAACCTGGAAGGGAGCTCTAGAGTAAGTACTAGTCCTCAGAGTATCCTGTGTCAGGCTGAAATGGCCAGTTCTTTATACTGGACACAGTCTGCCTTGGGAACGGTGTGATCTCAGACAAGGACGCTCTCTGTTGCTGAGGGAGATCCTGAAGAAGCTGACAGCTGGGGCTGCCTGGACAGCTCATCTTCGCGTCCTCCGTGAAATGCAACACAAACCTGCTTTAACAATAAGGGGATTTATTGACTTCTGTAACTGGACTGCTATGACAGGCAGCAGGGCTGGTTACTCCAGCACCTTAATGATATCATCCAGAACCCATATTTATTTTCTTCTTTTCCCTCCCTTCAGTGGCATCTGCTTCAGCTTATGAACAGCTTCTCTCAAAGTGACAAATGGCTGTAGCAGTTTGTCTGCACATCTACATGCCGTGTACACTCCCAGAGGGGATGGAACAGAGTCAGTAATTCCAAGGGGATTCTCAGGCTTGAAAAGAGAAAAATACACATTAATTTTTGAACTGGACACTCTGCTCTCTACAACTTTTATCTTGTCAACTTTTTTATAGGGCTTCACATTAGTTATCATTAAATGTCATATTGTCACAAACTCAACCTAGAATTCTGTATCAGCTGGAATATGCAGGGTATACTGCAATATATAAACAAACCCCAAACCTAAATGTCTTTAAAACAAGCCTGATTACTTTCTTACTCAGAGCTACAAGATTACTTTGGGTCTACAAAGGGCTCTTCTCCTTGTAATCACTCAGGAACCCAAGATGATAGAGCAACCACTATTTTGAATACTGCCAGTAGCTAATCCAGAGGAAAAAAGAATCTTGTGAAGTGCCACCACTTCTGCTTACATTTTATTGGCCACAGCAATGTCCCATGACCTCACTTCAGGTGGGCAGGGAAGTGCAATCCTATTATGTGGTAAGAGGGGAGAAAATGAGGATATTCATGAATAGCACCAATGACTCTTACAAAGTCAGCTCTATATTTTAGGCCTTACTGATACAAACTCATCTAGAATTCAACCGTATCAATATGTGGATAAAGTACAAAGCAGCAGAAAAATTCCTAACAGTTTCTCTCTTTTAATTCTATTATATTATGAGCAATTATGTTATGCATGTATATGAAATTGTTCTGACAATTGTTCTGAATCAGAATGTCCCAGAGTGAGTGCCAGATGTGTCTATTTTAAAAATCCATGCTTCCCCCTCCCTCATGAAGATCTAGTGTCCCATAAAACTGTAAAGCAAGCAACCGAGGGCAGGTATCATGTCTATTTTTGCTTGCATTTCAGTAGCTTTGTCTAGTACACATAACTGCTCAATAAAAACATGATCAGTCAAACATTATACATAAAACAAAATTATAAAATAGCTTATATCATATTCACAAGGATTCCATTATTTAACCTTGTTAAATCTCTCTAGGAATCTCAATACAACATTTCTTTTAATTTTCAATGTATTAATCCTCTCAGAAACTGAAATAACATTAATTTTGCATATCTTGTTCTTAGTGAACACCATATATCTTTGGTAATCACAACTTCCTTTTCCCAAACCATTTCCTTAATGAATTATTCCAAAATTTCATAAGGTATTGATTTAAAACTCACCAGTCTACCACATCTTTAATCATCTCTTTGCCTATTCAAAAATCAAAACATTTGCCCATCTTTAGTCTTCTGGTCCCTTTCCTTTTCCTTGGGATTTCTCAAAGCTATAATCATGTTGGAAAATCTTCAGGCTTAAAATCAAAGCATTTTGATGGGAAAACCTAGAAATACATAACAGATGCTAGAATATTTGATGATTCTATTAATGGAGGTATGAGTAATACCTCATGTTTTACTTTGACCTTAACAATCCATGGTGTATTAGTTTGAATCCTATTTGCTATTCAAAGCAGATGGAAATATAATCCCAGAGAAAAGACACAATTTAATTTGTTCCATCTCAAAGGAACATAAAACTAAGAATGGCTAATAACATGACTACTTTTATTGATTGCTTTTCATAAGCCAGACAAATTCTAAATGTGTATTTACTCAAAAAGAAGTAGACCACACTTAGTAACAAAGAAAGATACAATTCATATTTAAGAACAACTGGCCTCATAAGAATTTTTAAAAAATGGAACAGCAAGTATCAACAAGGATGTGAAGAAATTGGAAACCTCATATATTACCTTATGTACTGCATGCCAATGGAGCCAAAAAGTGTAGCAGTTCCTCAAAAAGTTAAATATAGCATTACCACATAACCAAGCAATTTACTTCTAGGTATATACCCAAGAGAATTAAAAACATAGTTTACCCAAAACCATGTGTACGAAGTGTTCATAGCAGCATTATTCATATTGGCCAAAAAATGGAAAGAGCCCAAATATCCATCAATGGATAAATGGATAAACAAAATGTGGTGCATATGTGAAATATTATTTAGTAATAAAAAGGAATGAAGTACTGATACATGCTACAACATGGATGAACCTTAAAAACATTTTGCTAAGTGAAAGAAACCAGATACAAAAGGCCACATATTGTGTGATTCTATTTATATGAAATGTCCAGAATAAGCACATCCAAAGAGATTAGTGTTCTCTATGACAATAGATTAGTAATTGCTAAGGGATAAGGAGGAAGGGGAACGGCCTGTACAGGGGTTTTTTTGAGGTGATTAAAATGTTCTGGAATTAGAGCGTGGTGATGGTGTACAACCTTATGAATACAGTAAAAACCACCAATGTACATTTTAAAAGGGTGAATTGCATAGTATGTAAGTGTCATCTCAATAAAAATTATCCTTTAAAGAAAAGAGCTCATCACTTGACATTTAAAAGGGGAAAAATGTCTAAGGATAAGAAAAAAAGAGTAAACATGAGTTAAGGAAACATGAATATTACCTGATTTGATGACAGGTGCAGAATATAGAGAATAGATGTTACTTAAGGGGCCATTGACAAATACGAAGAGTGTCTTGAACTACAGATACCTTATTGTTGGGAAATGCCCTGTATGCAGGGACTGTAGCCCTGCCGACAGGCCAGAGGGCCCCAAGGCTGGAGCTGAGCAAGGAGGCCTTGGGAAGACAGGCCACTGAGGAGATGAAACCTGTCCTCCTGACAGGGGCGCAGCCCCTGCCTCCCTCACATCACCCTGTTTGGCCCCGGAGGATGGCTGGTTAGTCAATGATGGGTAAGATCCCTTGATGGAAGGGGCAACCTAAGACAGGCACAGCCACATGGGCATCAGGGAAGAACTTGGGGGACACGGAAAAGGGCTAAAAGACCCTCACCCCTTGGCTTTGATATGGCTGGGGTCCTCATTCTTCTGAAAGAAGTCTCCTTATTTCCTGGCTGCCTTGACCTCCCCCTGCCTGGCTCAGGTTTGAAACAGAACTGGAAGTAGCCCTAAACTGGATCTGGTGGTTCCCAGGGGAAATCAGGCCTAGAAGTAAATTCTTTGAAGCATGCTTTGTTTTTCCCTCAAAAGCTATGATAACCAGCTCATGCTGGGAAGGAAATTTACATTACTCACAGACCCTGACCCTAAACTCTTTGGTGCTCTTATGTTTACACTCTCATGTTTACTCGTCTTGTCTCAGACCCATGTAAATGGACCCATGTAAATTGGTGTGTTACTGACATTTGTTTTCCTCAACATCATTTATTCTCTGTGAATATTAACATATTGATGTAATGAGATCACCTGGACATTCCTATTACCTAGCCCCATTGATAACCCTTTCAATAAAAGCCTTTGGACAAAGGGGCTGAGGACTTTCTCCACTAGAGGGAAGAGCCGCCCTGTCTCCTGGCAGACAGAGAAGTGTCTGGAACGATTTATTATTTCCCCCATCTGTGACAACCCCCGGGATGGGCTCTACGGGACTCAGAGTCCATGCTCCCTCCCTCAGCTGGCTCCGGACAGGGACCCTCAGATCCGGAGTCTGGCGTCCCTCTCACACCTTACCATATGGGAAATGGTGATTCCTGAGAAGGGACCTAAATAGAGCAGGCTTAGGATAGACTTGTTAGTATTTTTAACTATTTGATGAAAGACCATACTGTTAAAGGGAGACAATGTATAACAAAAATGGAATCAGGGAATAATTACCTCTGAGATCAAAAGTAGAACCAGGGAGCCCTGAATGGTGTGGCTCAGTTGTCTGGCATCATCCCACAAAGCAAAAGGTTGTGGGTTTGACTCCTGCTCAGAGCACAAACCTGGGTTGCGGGTTCAGTCCTTGGTTGGGGTGTGCACAAGAGGCAACCAATCGATGTTTCTCTCTCACGTTGATGTTTCTCACCCTCTCTCCTTCCCTTTCCCTTTCTCTAAAAATAAATAAATAAAATCTTTTTTAAAAAAGTAGAACCAGGGAGATGAAAGTCCTAGGAATTATTTCAATCAGTGAAGATAATTAAGGTGACTCAGCCATTTTTACCGCAGTAGGATCTTCTTTAGGAATCCTGATAGCTTATCTTCGTCATTAAGATATTGAATATGCAAGTGCATATCTCCAAGGCTCAACACTTGAGCAAGTCAGTTAAAATTACAGAAATTGTCATTACTGCTATTATTGGTATATTGAAAAAATTATTTATATATTCCATCTTTTAACACTTATGTGAGCAGCTTTTCTCTTCAGGTGTCAACCAACTTCACTGTGGAAGAGTGTACTTACCCCTCATTTCTTCACTGTATTTGTTAGCACAGGTTGAAATTCTTTAACATGTAAAATTTCTTTCTCCTGTAAGAGTCGATGGTGGGTCCAGTCAGCGGGGCACCCCTACTCCACAAAATCATTCGGAAAGTCAGGGTTCTATGTCTGGCTCTATTCTCCCCTGGGGCCTGTGTCCATTTGTTTCCCATAGGGAAGTTGGAAAGAAAACATGAGAGATTTTATCACTCTAGCTGGAAAGCAATATTTTCATTTGTTCTGGAAAAACTTGACTGATAGTTCTGATGGCTTCACATCACTATCAAATGAAGTTTCACAACACAAGACCCTGGGTTCCAAGACAAATAGATCACTGATGCAGCAAAAGTTAAGTGTAGGTAGCCACCCCTGTTCTTAGTGTGAGTACATATCTGCATCTTCTATCACAAAATTTCTATATTTACATTCTTTTATTTTTATTTCAAGTTTTAATGAGCCACTTCTGATCAACTGATCTATTTTCATGTGCTGCAATCCAGTGGCAACCAAGAAGACATTTTAACAAGCAAAGCAGCAACATGCAAATCATGTGGAAGTACATTAGCCAAGAGGACCAACATCCTGTTAGGTAGCACTTATTGAGACAAAGTAAATGAGAAGGCAATCTGAGAACAGAACAAGTCATCACAGTGATCAAGAGACTTAACAGTCAAGCAGTCTGTAAGCAGCAGCATGGTAGCATCTGCTCAGTTGGCTTGCCACACTTTCAGACTCGGCTCATAAGAACCCATAATAGACTTAGGCAGTTTATTATTTACACTGACAGCAAAAAAACAAAAGATCAGTATGTTTTCAGCTCCCTGTGTCCCTAGTCCCACTGGGTAACACCAAAAGAGGGCTAGATGACAGAGGACAGGAACCAGTGGATCGTTCTGTTACCGAGGAGCAAGGCAGGGTCAGCACTTGCAGGAACCTAAGTCCTGACTTTAAATTTTAAAGGAATCTTTACATTTTACAGAAATTTGCCTAAGAGCAGGGAGGGAGGTTAGGGATGGGGCCCGCAAAGCAGCAAGTTCTGGGTTCAACGGGAACTTGTATCTGACTTCCCCAAGAGAGGGATGAGAAACTCTCTCAAACAGCTCCCCGCCATCCTCATCTTCCCTTGCTCCAGGAGGAATTTCCGGTCATTCAGGACTGTTCAGACTTGCCTACATGGCCTTTCTGGAGGCATTTAAAGTTGCTAGGATTCCATGGTGGAGTTGTTCCCCTAGAGACCAATGTCTGAAATAGGGAGACAAAGCTGAATTTACTATTTCCTATATAGCAAGGGAAAGCTATGCTGGTCATGCACAGTCTCAGTAAGCAGAGCAAACTGTCGATTTTCCAAGTTTTGGAGCAAGGCAGTGTAAAGGGATTGGCCCGTAGAAGCTATTTGTTGACTGCTGGCACTCAGAGGTGTTTGCACTGGGCTGTTTGTGATTGCCTGGTTGGCTAGGATCCCTTCTGACTGCTACTTGTTTTCTGGGGGTTGGAACCTGTTTCATAAGAAGTAAAAGAATATCTATCAAAATAGTCCTTAACCATTGTTAAAACTTTGTTGCCGTATGAGTGTTCCGTAAATACTTGGTTCACGTTAGTAGGATACCCATTTAGTTGAAATGCATGATGTATGTCTTCTATGTCCCAGGTTTGTGATTGCCAGGACCCCAGCTATCTGTCCCTGTTAAGTGTTACGAAGGTGAAAACTATGATGAGAACAGCTTCACAATTTAGCGAACTCATAATTTGTCAAGAGAAGCCACTCCCTCTGGGCTAGGGGATTGCAAACCTCGAATTGCTAGCAATTCCGCCCATTTTCCATCTTCCTTCCTTATCTACTTAGTGATAGAAGCGGGCAGGAGCCAATGAAGAGAAAGAGGCTGAGCGTTCGCAGAACAGGGCACTGGGGTCTGGGAAAGCGGTAGAACCCAGGCGCAGGGTGGGAGCCTCTGGGAGGCGGGAGGTGGTGCTGGGTTTGCATTGGCCCAGCGGGCGCCCCTCCTCTCGGGGCCTGCCCCGCGCGCAGGGGAGGGTAGCTTCGCCCTGCGCGGGGAGGCGGAGGCGACCTGGGGGCTGAGGAAACATGGCCGAGTATTTGCGGCTGCAGAACTCACTGGCGCTGATTTGCCTCCGAAATCCGCCGGTCAACGCAATCAGGTAACAGTCCCAGGTCGCCGGCCTGCCGTGCAGGCTTTGACTCTCCCCTACTATTTGAGAAAGACCCTGACTCAAATTGAACGATATCTTAAGCCAGGAGCTTTTGCATAGGTTAACTTAGTTAATATCTTTGCAGAAAACTCTCGTTCTCATTTCATTGGAAAAGAAACTGAGACTGAGAGGCAGAGAGCTGTAAAGTAGGGGAGCCGGACTCGAACCTTGTCTCCCTATGTCAACTTCGTGCAGAACCCTCTGCTCGCTTGCAACTTTGACTTAGGCCCTACTTTCTAGTCCAAAGGTCTCAGTGCAATGCTGGCTGGACCTTGATCCCTCACTTTTCAACCTCCAGTCAGGCCACCAAAACATTTAGGAATCCGACAACGTGGCTTCACATTTTACAAAAAATAAAGGTCCCCATTAATGCCAAAGCAGTGAGTAAAGGAGATTGTGCTCTGGACCAGAAATGTAATTCTGTCCTCATCTGTTCTAAACCTCAGTACCTTAGTGCTTCAGTAGAACATCCATGTCAGTGTAAACCCATTAAATTAGCATTTTCTAAAAACTCCTGTGCACTTTATCTTCTTTTATTGCCTCATGAGTACCTTTTTGGTTAAACTCCCTAAGTCAGATTGTCAATGCAGTATTTTTAAAAATGAGATTAATACTGCTTTTATGAAAATTAATGAGGTTGTTATATAGGTTTGATTCTTCCGTGTTTCTGAAAAAGAGTATAGCGACTGACCAGTCTAGGAGAGAGCCTCCCATCCACAGGGAGCAGGGTCAGCAGAAATTACAACTTAGAATGAATATATGAAGTATAGAGAGAAAGACCTTTGCTTATAACGCTGAAATGAGGAGACCCAGTACTTGTAACAGAATTTTGCTCCTGCCATCAGATTTGATTTTATCATTAGTATTAATGTTATAATTCTCATTCTTAATATGAGTTATTGCATTTAGTAATACAAAAGAATTGCAGGAATAAAATCACACAAAGGTGATATGTTCACTTACTTGCCATTCTCAGACAAAAGCAAAATATTTGTTATTTTGGTTTTGATGAAGAAAAACATCAGCAATGTGATTACTTATCAGTTTTGGACTTGTCTGTATTCTAGTTGGAATTATTAGATATTAGGACTGTCTGCCCCCACCTCTGCTCGTAATGGGAAACCATGTCCATCGAGAGCTTGAGGGGGAAAGTTCCACAGTCTAATACCCATAACTAGGAATATTCTCTTATAACTATTTTTAATGTTTATGGATTCAACTGACTGTCACCCTCCTTGCAGTAGAAATGTTAGTATCTGCTTCATAAAATTGTGTGGTTTAAGTTTGCTGTTAAACTGGCATTTAACAGATGTTACCTACTATTATTTCTCTTAATCAGAGGCCTGTTACAAGCTCCTACCTACAGGCGCTGCTGCTCAGATGTCAGCTTCATCACGAATTCGCCTACTTGGGAATAAATACTTCCTGGACTTTTTGTTTGTTTGTTTTTCTATCTGCTTCTGAAGTTCTCTTTTAGGTAGAGTGTATATCCCAACGTATTTATCCAAAAAATTTTTTGTTTTGTATTTTTCTTTCCCTCCTCTTTCCTTCCTTCCTATTTACCTTTCTATTTCTTTTTTTTATGTGGAAAATTATCTCTTCCAAGCCCATTCAGAGATTCTTCTTTCAATATTATTTTGGCCCAAACAAATAGTTTAAATCCTTCTTTGCTAGTTTAGCAAGGCTTGTTCCTTCATTTCAGATGAATGCCAGCCGTCTTGACAAATGTAGGACATGCCTGTTTACTAGGTCTGTCTCCCAATACAATGGCTTTAACATTTTTTATTTTAATTGTAATTCATACAGTAAGAAATCCCATGTTTTACATAGCAACCTGAGCCACACAAGCGTGCAAATATACAACTGAAAGCAAAATTTCGTGAAGCAAACTTATTCTTACTTGTTATATCATTTGATATATTCTATTTTCTATTTCTTTGTTTTAAAAAAAGGTGGTCACAAGCCACAAACTTCATTTGATGACATTCGGTTTTTTTAAAAAAGTCACCAAAAAAGACCTTCTATAGTCATAGAAACTAAAACGTTTTGGTTAACACTCATGAAATATTATCTTTACTGTAGACTTGGTTTCTCCATACCTGACAATATTAAGAGGAGAAAATAATGTCTTAACCTGTGGGATCTTGACATTGCTTCCAGGCTGTGGTCCCTTTCACTTGGTTAGACTCTAGTAAAGCTGTATGTGTTATAGCCATTTTCATTTTTTTTTCCCTGTGTTTGATTTTTGCAAAATTAACAAGAACATAAAAGAAATGAAAGAGTAGCAGTTGGATGCAATGGGAAAAGCCAGCCTCTTCTCATTGGCACTGATTAAGCTCATTCGGGTTAATTTAACGGCCGTCATTTAACCAGAAGGAGCTATGTGCCTTTTGGACTTCTCAGATTGTGGATGGTTCAGAATCTGTTTTTCATTAGATTCTATTTCTAATTAACGGTTGAAGGCAGAAGGTTTTGCTTGATTTCATTGAGGTTAAATGATGAAAAGCAATTAGGCGACAGAGAATTATCATATCAAGGGCAAGTATATCCTTTATTCCCAGAGGTTTTAGCTCATAGTTGCTGGTCTGAAATATCTGTCTTTTATAGACATTTGTTCTTGTGTTTCATTTTGTAGTAAGATTTTTTTTTCACCCTGTATGCTTAAGAACAGACATTTTACCCAGAACACTCAGGGTTCCATGGCAGAACAGATAAGACTCCAGTTCTACCATTTTTTCCTTGAAGCAATTCCTCACCACTTTCCCTCGATTCTCCTCCTTTATCACCGCTTGGCACTTAGACATTCCCTGCTTCTTGACAAATTCTTTTTGCTTGGCCTTTGGTGACTTTGGGCTCCCTTGGTGCTGAATCTCTCTGCTGAGGTGGAGCTTCTGAAACGAGGGTGTACCCAGATCTACTTTGAGCTTTCTTTTCTTTTCCTTTGGCAGACTCATTCAGTTTTGGTTTTAATCATCTTCTCTGTTGATGACTCCCTCGTCTGCTTGGCATTGATCTACCACTTGGCAAAATCTACCACATGTCCTTCTTCCCCAGACCTTGCCTTTTCCTCTTAAATTATATAGTTTAAGATTAGGTTTGGCTGTCAGTGACGGAGAACTCAAAATAGTGGATTACACAAGGAAAAGTTGATTTCTGCCATAGCAGTGTCCTGGAATGTAATGGCTGCTCCACAATCACCAGGGACCCCAATTTTCTCTGTCTCTTTATCTGCCATCTTCAGTATATGGTTCCACCTCTTGGTCCATAAAGGCTGCTCCTGATTTAACCGTCACATCCACGTTCCCACCAGGAGTGGGGAAGAAACTATACCAAGTCCTTTTGCACTCTTCCCAGAAGTTGCAAATGCCAAATCTGCTTCTATCCTATTAGTCAGAACTTAATAATGACCTTACTGCAAAATAGGCTTGGAAATATAGTCTTTATTTTAGGCAGCTGTGCATCCAGCTGAAAACCATAAGTTTAATGTTTTGAGGAAGGTGGGGATGTAGGGATATTTGGGATAACTTGTAGCCCCTGCCACATCTGTTTCTTTTAGAGTATTTCAGTTTTCTTACATTCTGCCAGCATGACAAATTAAAAGTAATCACTTCACCCTCTGAACTTCCACATCACTTTTTTTGTATCTGTTATGGCACTTATCTTAGTGTGATATTTTGTTGTGTGTATTTTGTTCTCCCTAGGGTGTTACAAACTCTTTTTACTGTATCTAGGAGATGTGTAATAGTATTTTAAAATTGACTAGTGCCAATTCTAAGTATTCAGAGTTATAACAGAATGCATAAAAATACCATTTTTTAAAAGTTTATTACGTAATCAGCTCAGTGCTTAATTCACAATAGATACCTATATTATTTGTTGAACGAAGTGAACGCTTATAGTTATCTGAAGTTTTCATCCATTGCAATTGTGTTTAAGTTTTCATTGTTAGAAAAGGAAAAAACTCTGAGATGGTAGAAATGTAATTCTGACTAATTCTTCATTTTTTTTCTTTTAGTGTGGCTGTCTTAAGTGGACTAAAAGAAGGGCTACAGAAAGCTAGAACAGACCCTGCAGTAAAAGCCATTGTGATTTATGGAACAAATGGCAACTTCTCTGCAGGTACCAGTATCCAACCCTCTCCTGTTATTTCTGGAACCCAGCCACGACTCAGACTGATACTGCACTAGCTGTCCCTGCGCATAATACCATAGTGTAGGGAATGGATGGGGGAGACTCGAGTGGAAATGAGAAACTGGAAAAAGAGACTTGATTTCATAAGAGAGACCCAGAGAAGAATTTGACCTTGCTCTCTTTTATATGGGACTGGACCTTTGTAAGGTATTTAGTTGTAGGCTTGAGAGCTGTAATACCTGCTAGTCTATACATACCTGCCCTGTATATATCTTCACCCTATGTGAATGTGAGCGAATTCCTTTAATCTCCTGAACTTCAATTGTATTTATAGAATTGTACACTTGAAACCTGTATAATTTCATTAACCAATTTCACCCCAGTAAATTCTATATAAAAAAATTTAAAAAATCAACTTTTCAGTTTATAAACTAGATACAGTAATATCTATCTTGACTTTTTTTGTGAGGTTAAGTGAAATAATACACCTGAAAGCCTCTAGTGCAGAGCCTACATGCAGAAGATGTGTAATAAATGTTATTTTTGTTTCACACAGTCTTGAAATGGAGTTCATTTTTCTTCTGATAATCACCTATCTCAGAGATCATGCCACTTTTTATTGGGTTATTCTTTAAAGATGCAAAAATATTGACAAAAATATGGTAAAAGTATCTGAAACGGTGATTCAGTCATATTTGTGACACCTCTTCTCTTTTCTCAAATGAGTATATTATACCCTTGACAAAGTCACGTGGTTATGAGGCCTATGTGATCTTACTGTAGCCAGAGGATTTAATGTATGTTGATGGTACCCTGAAAAGAAATAGATATTAGAAACATGACAATAAATATAAAAATGGTAATCATTATAATAATTATCATTTATCTTGCCTGCTATGTACTAGTAATACATAAGTTATTCATTTATTAATAATGAAAATAGTAGTATTTTTACATTTATTATATTTTAATTCTCAAAATCCTATTTTAATTCTACAGTCTCTATTTACAGATGAGAAAGCTGAGCTTGAGAAAGATTAAAATAATATACCAAACATAAACTAGCTATTAAAAGGCTCACTCAACTGTTTGAAAACTTAAGTTTGGGAACCCAAGATGATGACTTGGAGACATGGAGAAACGGATCAGAATTGTGGAGAACTTGATATTTCTTTGTCAGTAAGAAGATATAAGAGAGAATGTAGTTAGAGCTTAGGACAGAAAAAAATTATTCTAGAAAAGCATTAGGAATGAGCAGATTTGACTTAGTGGATTTATATAGAACATTGTACCTACCCAACAATTGCAAAATAATACATTTTTATCAAATCTGCAACATTTAAAAAATTGACCAGATACTGGACCATGAAAGCTTGTCTCGGTAAATTTCACTTAGAATATGTTCTCTGACAATGCAAATAAACTAGAAACCAATAACAAATATATAACGGGAAATTCTCATATGTTTAGAAATGAAATTGATTTCTCTGAACTAAAGCAGAAATCGTAATAGAATTTAGAATGTATTTTGAACTGAATGATAATGAAGACACAACATACATAACTTGACAAAAGCAGCTAAAGAAAAACTTAGCAGAAATTTTATAGCCTTATATAAATCAGGAGAGAAAAAAAGACTGAAAAGTAATGAGCTAAACATCCCTATCAAGGAACTAACAAAAACAGTAAAATAGGTGTATATGAAGTAGAAGGAAGGAAATAATACAGAAGAGAAATTAATGAGACAGAAAACAAATGTGAATCAAGAAGATCAACAATGTCAAAAGTTAGTTCTTTGAAAGACTAATAAAATGGACAAACCTCTGGAGAAATGATCAAGAAAAAAAACAGCAGAACAATGAATATAAGAAATAATAAAAGTGTTCTCACTGCAAATATTGTAGCCGTTAGCAAAGATAATGAAGATATGAACAAGTAGAAGATTATATAGCCCACCAAAATTGACTTGGAAGAAGTAGAAAACCCAAATATTTCTATAACCATTAAAAAACTGAATCAGTAATCAAAAGTCTCACAAAGCCATCCTTGGTTGTCCTTGGCTTGTTTCTGCACCACTCCTTTTCTACCTCTGTCTTCCTGTGGCTACTCTTCTATGTCTAAATTTCCCTGATCATAGACTGATCCACCCTAATCCACTATGACCTCATCTTTACTTTATTACATTTGGTAAGACCCTATTTCTAAAAAAAGATCACATTTCAGAGGTTCGGGGTAGACATCATTCAACCCAGTACACTTCCCAACACATATTGTGAGTCTTACATAAACTTGATACCAACACCTGTCAAGGACAGTAATGAAAAGCAAAATTATAGGTCAATTTCATTCATAAATACAGATATAAAAATCTTAAACAGTACATTATAAAGTTGAGTCTAACAATATAGAAAAATGTAATACATCACTTTTATCCCAGTAGTACCAGAATGGTTAAACCTTAGAAAATCAATGTAATTTATCTTAAAATATTAAAGGAGACACTCATGGTTATTCCAAGAGATGCAGAAAAAGCATTTGATTACATTTGACATGCATTAAAGATAAAAATTCTTAGCAATCTAGGTATAGAAAGGAAATGTCTTAATTAGGCTAAAATATCACATTTAAAAACCTATAGCAAACCTCAAACAGAATAACTTGAAAGCTTTCCTTACTAGAAAGGTAAAAGACAAAGCTGGCTGTTGTCTCCATTTGTAGTTGACATTGTATCCTAGGCCCTGGCCAGCCTGGTGAGGTATAAGGTGTAATTATGGACTGAAAAGGAAGAAACAAACTTCATTATCCAGAAGATATGATAGTGTTTATAGAAAAATTAAAGATAACCTATCAGAAAATTATTAGGATTATTAAAGGAATTTAGCGACTTTGCTGGGTATAAAATCAATATCCAGAAAATTAATTACATTTCTTTATGCCAGAGACAAGCAGTTAAAAAGTGACTGCTGTCCGTACCTTGATTTCTGTACAATTGTGATGATAATCATACTAACCTTGTTCTGCAAGTAAAATAAGGTAGTGTAACATTTGAGAATGTGTGGTATGGTCAAATTATCTGAGTTCAAATCCTTATTTTACCACTTACAAGTCATATGTTTAAATTAGTCACTTAACATCTCAAAGCCTTAACTTTCTTACCTGTATAATGGGGATTGTTATACTACTTAGGTATTAAGAACAACACATGAAATAACTTAGCATTATACCTGTGTACTTATCCATTAAATGATAATTGCTATTATTCCATGAAAAGCCTTTTTTATCTGAAGTTACAGGAATGATAGGCTTGAGATTCAGATTGAAATTCGTCTCTAGAACCAAAGGAAGAATAATAATAATAATAATAATAATAATAATAATAATAATTAGACGAGTGTAAAATATGTTGGGTTAGTGAAAAGAAGCACGATCCCTGAACTGATGTTAGAGGAGGAGCTGGTGGCAGGGAAAAAAAAAAAAAAAAGGTTGAACATGAATAATTGCTTTAACTTTTTAACTTGTACCAAGCTTAATTTTTTCAAAGAATACATAATGTTATAGCTCACTATGTATACCGTTATATGAAAAAAAACTATAAAAAATGATTTTACAGAATGCTCTCAATATTGCTAAGAATCTGTATTATAGTAAACTTTCATTTAATTGTCACATCAGTCATTTAAATAGGTATTGAGACAAAGGTTAAATAACTTACCATTTATATTAAAGCCATTGCTTACAGCCATTTATATTTATGCATTGGGAAAAAAGAATTTACCAAATATTACATTATCTCTATGTGATGATATTAGGGGTTATCTTTAGGTTCTTTATAATTTTGTGCATTTTTCAAATTTCCATAATACATGTTATTTTTATAATTAGAAAAAGCAATAAATGTTGTTACTGTTATTGATTACAAAAAATCTATTCCAAAAGCATAATTCTAAACTGGTTGGTTAATGCGTAACTCACAAATATGTATGCATTTTACCCTGAGATTTTTTATTGTAATAACTCAAGCCCATAACAAAGATACGGCTTGAAATTGCTGTGAATATAATTGGTGAGCAGCATCATGCAAAAAATGGAAAGGAATGACTCAATGTCAGAATAATGGTCAGTACAGGAGAATCTCTATTCCCTTTCTCTGAGCTTTTTAATTTTTCTGAAGGTAGAATTCCTACCTAACATACTGGAAAGATAGAAGAATACCGAATTCCTAATAAAGATTTGAGGATTTTCTCTCATATCAATCTATATTTTTCCAGGCCAGTTTTTTCCTTTACTGTGTCTCCACCCCAAGTATGAAGTGTTTCATTGGTCCAAAGAGGTCTGAGATTCCTTAAGAATTATCTGGTACTTTATTGCTATGTCACAAAGTTTACGTCTTTCTCAACTCTCTTTTCCTTGTATTTGTGTCCTTAGGTGCTGATATCCGTGGTTTCAGTGCTACCATTAATTCTAGGCTTTCACTGGGGTGTGTAGTAGATGAAATGCAGAGAAGCAAGAAGCCCATGGTAGCAGCTATCCAAGGCGTGGCTTTAGGAGGCGGACTGGAGCTGGCCCTGGGTTGTCACTATAGGATTGCCCATGCTGAGGTAACAGCTGAGGCTCCATGTGGGACTTGGTGTGTGGGTTTTTCTTTAGGGCAAACCCTAAATGTAGTTATAAGCATCTGAAGTGATCATTTTAAGTGGTTGGCTTCCTGACTGATAACTCTTAGGCATTTCTAGCACTGGTGCTTAGCTATTATGTACCAGTTCAGTGGTACTGGTTGTTAAAATGTTGAAATACATTAATTCTGGTTGGTAAACAACTGCTATCATGAGCCCTCTGACTGCCCCTTTGCTTCTCCTAACCCTAGCCCTTGAGCCTCCCTAGGATCGATCAATTAAAAGGGAAACTCCTGGGTCAGTGTGGGCCCCCAGGAGTCTATCCAGTACTATGGCCCATGTCAGATTTCACTGAGCCGTGCTCATGCAGTAGGAGGTAGTAAATACTTTGACTATCACCCCTAAGTATGTATACTTATTTAAACATTCATTTCCTGTCTCTAAAATTTCAGTTTTGTGGTCCCTTACAATTATCGGTACCTAAGACGACCCATTCCTATTCAAAAACAGCACAGAACTACTAAACCCATTTATTTCTGAAATTAGATTTAACTTGGGCAACTATGTAGAATGAGGTCTGTGATGCAAGTCTTATAATAGTAACATAGTCTTAAGTGATATAGTTTTCTAATGACAAAGATAGTAGTCATCATTGTAATAGACCAGCAATCACAGGAAAGTATAAAGATATACAGTAAAATCACCATAAACTCATAGTTCAGAAATAACCACTATTAACATTCAGTTTTATTTCCTCCTGTTCTTTTTCCTATGTAGTTTATTTCCTACATTCTTTTCCTTGGCAACCTTTTTTAAAAACTACATTTGAAACTTTATTTTATTTTGTTTGTGCTCTATTTTTATACTAATATGATATTTAACCTATTATTAAATATGCTTTATACATTCTGCCATTTAGAGAATTCAGTTCATTTACATTTAAGGTAATCATGATAAGGAAGGACTTATTTCTGTCATTTTGCTATTTGTTTTCTATGTCTTATGTTTTTTTTTGTTCCTCAATTCTTTCATTAATGCTTTCATTGGTGTTAAATATTTTCTTTTTTATATATTTAAAATTTTTTTAATTGTTTTTCAATTATAGTTGTCCCCATTTTTCCCCCATTGCTCTCCCCCACCCTGCCTACCACCGCCCACATTCAAGTTTCCCCTCTGTTGTCCTTGTCCATGGGTCCTTTTTATATGTTCCCTTACTTGATCCTTCCCCTTCTTTCCTCTGTTATCCACCCCTTCCACCCTTGCATTGTCAGTTTGTTCTTTATTTCCATGTCTCTGATTCTGTTTTGCTCACTTGTTTGTTTTGTTGATTAGGTTCCACTTATAGTGAGATCATATGGTATTTGTCTTTCACTGCCTGCCTTATTTCACTTAGCACAATGCTCTCCAGGTCCATCCATGCTGTCGCGAAGGAGTTCTTCCCATCTGCTGAGTAGTATTCCATTGTGTAAATGTTGTATTAAATAGATGTTTTCTAATACCCCTTTAATTATCTTGCTGTTTCTTTTACTATATTTTTAGTTATTTTCTTAGTGGTAATTTTCCTGGATATTACAATCTATTTCAGATTAATGCCAACTTAATTTTAATAATAGGCAAAAAATTTGCTTCCATACAGTTCTATTACCCACCCACCCCCTTTATGCTATTGCTGTCACAAATTATATCATTATGCATTGTTTGCCCATCAACATAGATTTATAATTATTACTTTATTTAGTGGTTTTTAAAATCAGATAATAAAAAGAGAAATTATAAATAAAAATTACATTAATACTATACTGTCTTTAATATTTACCTATGTATGTTACCTTTTACCATTGTTCTTTATTCCTTCATGTGGATTTGAGTTACTCTCTAGTGTCCTGTCACTTCAGCCTGAACTATTTCTTGTAGGGTAGATCTGTTAGGAACAAATTCAGTTTTGTTTATCTGGGAATGGCTTAATTTGCCTTCATTTTCAAAGGCTAGTTTTACTGAATATAGAATTCCTGTTTTACAGTTTTTTCTCCTTTCAGTACTTAGAATATGTCATCTCACTGCCTTTTGCCCTTCATTGTTTCTGATGAGAAATTTGCTGTTAATCTTATTATAAATATTCTTTCAAAATATAATTTTAAATGGCTATATAATTTTCTTATAGATAGACCATTATTTATTGAACCATTTACCTATGTTGCTTTAATTTTTATGAAAGCTTATAAATAAAGGTATGTTCTAAGTGCCCCTTTTTCTTTGTTTCTCTTACCATGACCTTCTAAACACTGAGTACAGATCTAATATGTGAGCAATAATAAATAAGTTAGGGGGATGGGGGTGAACAGTGGTGGGAAAAGATGGTGACTGGCTGTTAGGAAACCCTCCTGTGAGACAGGCTCAAATATTCCAGGTATTTTGGAGCTATTAGCATCACAGTGTGGGTAAATTGCAGTCTGTATTTAAATACCCTCTCCTCCCATCTTTGTACCTGTAAAATAACTAAGAGCTTTGGCCACTTTTAAATGGCCCAGAGGGGCATAGAATAAGGTCCTGGAGCTCACCCTCTTGTCTGGATTGAGGTTACTGATTTTCTTCTTTTTTTCAAATTTTTCTGTGGGCATGTTTTCATTTCTCCTGGGTACATACTCAGGAGTGGAATTGCTGGGTTATATGGTAACTCTTTGTTTAACCTTTGAAGAACTGGCAAATTGTTTTCCAAAGTGACTGCACCATTTTCTATCCTCACCAGCAATGTACGAGGGTTTTGTGTTCTCCACATCCTCTCTTACAACTTGTTATTGTCTGTCTTTTTTATTGTAGCCATCCTAGTGGGTGTGAAGTAGTATCGTGTGATTTTGATTTGTATTTCCCTGATGGCTGATGATATTGAACATTTTTTCAAGTGCTCATTGGCCATTTGTATCTCTTCTTTGGAGAATGTCTATTCAGATCCTTTGCCCACTTTTCACTGGGTTGTCTTTTTATTATTCACTTGTGAAAGTTCTTTATATATTCTAGATATACAATTTTAAAATGTTGTCTCCCATTCTGTGGGTGTCTTTTTATCATCTTGGCTGACTGAATTTTTCAGGGCTCCATAAAGCTGTTTCTGGATACCATTATTTTTGTTGACAGAGACAGGTCATAATAGAACCAGGAAAAAAAAGGTGTTAAGATGCTAGGGATGTGACTTAACAGAAAGACTTAGGAACAGCACAGCTCTTTTTATTTTGTTAATTAAATGAAATGAGAGGATATATACAATAATTTGCTTTGTAGAAACTCTTTCTAAATTCTGTGAAACAATGTTTTTGAGAGTCTGGAAAATCCAGAGGAATGCTCATCTTTTCTCTATATGTCATCTCATTCGAATGACCTTCATGTCTTTGAACTTTGATAGGCTCAAGTCGGCTTACCAGAAGTCAAATTAGGACTTCTTCCTGGTGCAAGAGGAACCCAGCTTCTTCCCAGGCTCATTGGAGTTCCTGCTGCACTTGATTTAATTACCTCAGGTAAGTATAAACCCTACCAGCAGTTATCTAGATCAAAGTGAGGAATTGGGCTGGGATTTAGAGAAATTCTGGCTTGACCATTCCATACCTATGTGATCTTAAGAAGAGACTTTAACCTCTTTGACTGTCAATATTCTTGCCTGTCAAATGGAAAGAATACTTTCCCTGAGAGCTTCTCAAATGTTACTGTGAAGATCAAATGTGACTATCTTCTAAATGAAAGGTATACGAAGTGATAAATCACATTTAGGAATTTATTGCAGTTTAAGTGTCTGCTCCCAGACACTGGTGTTCACATAGGATGTATTATATTCAGATCTAATTTACAAATTGTAATATAGACAGGAATTAAAATGAGAATTTTCAAGGAAAGATTTTAAGTTTTAGTGTGTAAATGAATGAATTTTTCATTTCTCAAGTATTAATACATTCACTACATATAGAAGTTGTTCTCTTTTAATAGAGAATGTGAACAATGCAACACTAGAAAACAGACACCCTAAATTTACCAAATACCATAAGACATATAAAGACATTTTCAGTTGAGGTAAGGTTGGAAAAAAAGAATATATACGACTATTTACTGTAAGTGGGTATAGATAATTATGAGACCTTAGGTCAGTCCCTTTACCTTTTTATGCTATAGTTTTCTTAGAAATGTGCATAATAGTATAGTGCCTGCCATATACTTCTACAGTGTGGTGAAGATTAGATAAATTAATGCATACAGTATGCTTGGAATGGCCCCAGGCATAGTAATGACTTCATAAATTTTAGCTATATTATTATCCTCATATCTGACAAACCACAATCTTAAAACTAAACCCAAACTTAAAACCTATGAAAATATTGTGACAGAAGAAAAATGAAACAAATGTGAGTCTGCTGAAACAGGTTAAAGAAAACTCACACTATTCTAAATTAGAAAAGAAAATTGTTTATTTATTAAATAGGAACGCCCTGTTTAAAATTAAAACATTAGCCATAATTATTTCTTTTTGAAGCAACAACAAAAAAATTGTGATAGAACACACAACTGAATCAGCAAAATGGAGGATAGAGACACATTTATAGAATCCAGAATAACAACAAAAAGACACATAAATTGTACATGAAGGTAGCAGGCATGGAAGATACTGTATGTTAACAAGCAGCCATTTTCCTGGAAAAACTGATGAGGAGATATCAATGCCTGATGTATTTTGGCAAAGATTTTGAACTTCCAGGAAATAGAGTCATGCAAGCTTCCAAAGGAAAATAACAAAATGCATCAAAGGATACTTTCAAAATAACTAAAATCACCCCGTTCACAAAGTAAATGCCAAATGTGAGGAACATTCATATATTAAGATGGTATGCAGTCTTTAAAATGATCGTCTAAATCAGAAGTCCGTAAAGTGTGATTCAGGGACTGCAGGCTACGCTTAAGAGCACTATGAAGTCAGAACTATTTTCATAATAGGAGAACATTACTTGTCTTTTCCACTCTTATTCTCTCACATGTATATAGGGGAATTTTCCAGAGATTATTGTATCAGAACAAATTGAATGCAGAAGCAGGTATGAGAATCCAGCTGTCTTCTCTTAAGAAGACATGAAAGAAATTTGCAAACATATAAAACAATGACATTCTCCTCACTAAATTTTGAAAAATTTGAACTCATAGTTATTTTGCACAAAATTTTTATATGTTAAAATATAATAAGAATTATATTTTAACATATAAAAATTTTCAAAGTTCTTGGCTTTAGTTTCTAATATAGTAATATTGATAGAGATAACCCATATAAACAAAAGCTCACTGGAGTGCTCCATAATTTTTAAGGATGCAAAGGGGTCCTTAGACTAAAAAGTTTGAGAACTGTTCGTTGAAATTCGTATATTTCGACACAGAAATCACAATATAAAACTATACGAGATCCAAATTGTTACTCCTATAAAGTATGAAAGGGGAATTAGAAAAACTAAAAACATTAAATTTCTTATCAATAAATTAAATTAGAAGTTGTTATAACTTGTGATGGTATAAAAAAGCATACATTTAAGAGTACGAACTATTTTAAGTTCCCATTGTAGAATTTATAAAAGGATGCTTACACTCCAGCATGAGACAGTTTATTGTGCAAAATAAAAAGGAAGCAAAGAAGTGTAAGAATTAGGGGGAAGTTACAATACAGTTGACCTTTGAACAGTGCAGTGTGCTAACTCCCGAGCAGTTGAAAATTTACATGTAACTTTTGACTCCTCCAAAACTTAACTACTAATAACCTACTGTTGACCAGAAGCCTTACCGAGAACATAAACAGTGGATTAACACATATTTTGTGCATTATATGTCTGTATTCTTACAATAAAGTAAGATAGAGAAAAGAAAATGTTAAGAAAATCGTAAGAAAGATAAAAGACATTTATAGTACTGTATGTATTTATTGAAGAAAATCTGCATGTAAGTGGACCCTTGCAGATCAAACCCATGTTGTTGAAGAGTCAGCTGAAGTGTGAAGTGAGTCTGTAAATTCTAAGGTTTACAGAAATTAAAGCATGTGCACCAGCGTTGAGGAATTTTGCAGCCCTGTTTTCAGTATTAATTTGAAAATCAGGAATATCTTGTGGGAAATCCAGAAGAAATCTGGTTTATTTGACAAAAAGAAATGAAATGAACTAGGATTGGCTTTTCCCAAAGTTATACTGCTTTTAGAAATATCACTGTTTTTAACATGATGAGAAGAGGTAGAAACAGTAAGAATATGATGGATTCTGATTTGCATCTGAAAGCCCACAGTGAATTAGAAGAAAGATAACACTAGAATCATACACCTATCTTTTTAAGTAATCTGTACAATTTTAGGGGGACTTTAAAATGACATCTTGAAAGGGTTCCATGTAGAAAAGTTTTTATAAAGGTTGGATAGGAAGCCATGAGGAAAACTGGAGAACATTGAGATCACCTTGCATGTAGAGAAGTCTCAATTTCTGCTGTCCGGGGGGCCGTCCTTGCAGTAGCTCTGGCAGGGCTCTTAGTAGAGCCCGCAGGACATCAAGGGCAGCACAACAAAAAACAAGTTGAAATCTCAGTCTGAGAATTTGGATCCTATACGCAGACCTGGGTCCTTAGGTCCTTGGCACAGAAAAAAAGTATCTGCAATCTCATTGATTCTTTAAGAACAGCTGTGGTACTCCTCTGCTCTTGTGAAATCCAGGCCAGAAGAAATCATTAAAGCCGAAAGAATTTTCAGTTCACTTGTGGGTAGTTCTTGCTCCCCCTGGTTAGTTGCCTTAAAGATCTTTTTAGTACCCAGGTTTCCATCTTCCTTTTTTTTTTTTTTTCCACTTAACCTGGGGAGGCTGAGTCATTCACCCCTCACCCAAGTGATTTTATACACAGAAGGCTTGATGCCTGAAGCCACATTCACCCGCTCTGACCCCTCTCCTCACCCCAGGAGGAAATCTGGAAGCCTGTTTTCAAAGGCACTTCCAGAAAACTGCCCAAACATTGCTGTTACAGAGCGACCCCTGCCAAAAATTATTGAACTGTCTATCTGATCAGAAGACCCATTTGTAGTTCTTTGAAGCACTAATAAGAACCAGGAATGGAAGGTTTGTCTCAGAGAAAGCAACCCGCCACACTCTCTGTAAGAGCTACAAAGACTGTGGAATTGTTCCCGCCAGTACTGATTTGATGATCACTTTTCAGAAGGAAGGTGGTATTGGCAAGAAAGCAAGTAATGTGTCAAACTTCTGTAACCCCCTAGAGCTGCCATTCTATGTTGGAGGCTGCCAGAGCTGACACTAGACACTAGATGCTCCTGGCACTGCCACCAGATACGAGATGTCGCTCTCTGAGAAATGAGATTTAAACTGTTGCTGTTGCTTAGTGTCATGAATTCCAGACTAGAAACCCTTGGCAGAGCCCTCCATTCGCCAGCTTTGGTGTCATGGGACATACCCTAGCTGCCATGGGTCTGACTGGACAATTGCCTAATGATCTCTTTTTCCTTTTCAGCTTCTGTAATAATAAGAGCTAGGTCTCCAAAGCTCAGACAATAGTGATTCCACAGACTAAGGGAGGAGTCAAGATGCTGGGTAGCCAAAAAACTGCTGGAAATCCCCTTGTTTATTTTGTGTAATTTTGATGATAGTTTATATAATGCCAACTTAATTACTTTTTTCTTGTCTACCCAACCGCATTAATCTGTGGGCATTGTCTTTTTTTTTCGGAATCAACAACAGCCCTTGGTACCTATGATATGAGATACTGCTATTTCTTTGCTGCTACTACCTCTATTATTATAACTTAAAATAATCCCCTCTTATGTTTATATAGAGATCTATAGTTTATAAAATACTTCTATAGATATTTATGGAATATAAAGAGAATATGTTATTTTCACTTAGGACTCAGAATTACTAAGGTAAGCATAATTATTCCCATTTATCAACAAGGAAATTGTAGTCCTATACCGCTCTTCAGGGTGACACAAATAATAAAAGGTAGAGCTGGAGCTTGAATCCATATTTTCTGGTTATCTCCTTAGAGATCTTTCTACTACTGCAGTCCATGTGGTGCTGCTTATTGATTTTATTTAATAACATGTTTATATCCAGGTCAGATGCCCTTTGCACTAGAGAGAGTAATGCTTTCGCTTTAATCTCACATTGTCCTTTGACTTGCTTTGTTTTGTTTTGTTTTGTTTTAGGAAAACATATTTTGGCAGATGAAGCACTCAAGCTGGGTATTCTAGATAAAATTGTCAACTCAGACCCAGTTGAAGAAGCAATCAATTTTGCCCAGAGAGTTTTAGGTAAGAAGATAATAAAAATACCCCCAAATCAGAAACAAGCTAAATGTCCATCTTAATAAGAAACTACTTAAATATCTTCTGGTCCATCTGTGGGATGCATTATGACACAGCTTTAAAATGAATGAGAAACTCTATGCATTGATATGATACAAATGCCATGATATATGTATTGAGTGAAAAAAACATCGTTATGTATAGTGTTTCACCAATTGATTAATTAGAAAGAGAGCATAGGATTGGATGTCTCTATGAGGAGAGTGTATATATATAACTGTTTGTGCATAAAATATTTCTACAAGGATTCATAAGAAATGGTTAATGGTTGTCTCTGAGAGTGGGGCTGATCAGCCAGGGACATCATTGGAAGGAGACTTTTTGTTGGTTACTCTCCTGTACCTTTTGAATTTTTATTAAATGAACTCTTTTTCTATTAAGAAATATTATTAAAACTAAAACAAACAAGCAAATGAACATTTCAGCAGATATGAGAACACAAGCTCTATAATGGACCATAATGACCTGTGGTTCTGTTTCAGTGAGCTATTTCCTCTCTCACTGGTTTCTCACTTTATGGAGTCAGGACATTCCTTTAGGAGTTCTTTGGAGTGGCACTTCTATAGTTTTTCTTTTCTTTTTGAACTATTCCTTTTAATTTATGAAAGTTGGCAGCAAGATGGAGAGGGTAAGAGCATGTCAGGAAAAAAAAATAATTGAAAAGAGTACTGGATCATAGGCAAGGCAGGGTGTTCATCTCCCTACTTGGTGGCAGGCAACGGCTCAGTGTCATTCAAAGGCATTCTTTTGAAAAAATCATTCTTTTGTCAACTGTGGTAGGGACAAAACACTTCTCTGAAATAATCTTTCTTTTTGTGGCTCTAGCCAGTTACTGTTTTGGTGCAACAGGAAAAGCTTGAACTGGAGAGGCCAGAGTCTGTGGGGAAAAAATACTGGTGACTCATAAAGAGAATCAGTGTGTCTTTGCCCAAATGAGAATGTTTCCTGCTGTTCCTCTGCCTCCAGACAAACTTTGCGGCCTTTTCATCACTGGCTCATCGACCTCCTGAGAGGGCAAGCTGTTTGTTAGAAGTCACCTGGTTGGCCAATAGCAAAGGCTATTTACATTTGCAGGTCCCTAAATTATTTTTGGCTTGGGCATTCATAGACTATTATCTACACCTATGGTTTTAGTTTATAAAGAACTTGATTTCAATGGGAAGTTCTTTCCTTTCCTGAACTGATTTCCCTAGATTCAGATTTGAGAGTTAAGTTACTTCCAGAGACAGAAGAGGATCATGGTCTATCTAGTACATTTATAAAATTGTCTGTTTTCATTTTTAAAATTTATTTAATTTTAAAATTAGTTCAAATTAAAAATTTTGAACAATATTCTTATTGATTGATTTGAGAGAGATCAATTAGTTCCACTTATTGGTGTATTCATTGGTTGCTTCTTGTATGTGCCCTGACCAGAGATGGAACTAACAACCTTGGCATATTGAGACAACACTCCAACATACTAAACTATCCAGCTAGTAATAAATAAATTAAAATTTTTTTTTATTTATAAAATTTATAAAACAGTCTCCTCAATCTCAGCAACATTACACAGTTTGTCCACCTGGTGGCATCCAAATATTGAGGAGGAATCATCTGCTTTAGAACTTGGTCATTCACCTCTTAACAGTAGGAAATGGTCCTGAGCTTTGGATAATTATGTATAACTATTTTAAATTATAGTCATGAAGAATATGTAGAAATATGTAAAATTATTTGTGTTTAAAAATGTCAAAAATACCAACTTATATATTGTGTAAATAGAACTATATAGAATTTGTATGAATACAGACAAAAATTTAAAGGGAATATACAAAAATGAAAACAAATTAGCTTTATCCCCCCAAACTTCATAAATGGTTTTTGCTTTGTTTTGATTTTTTTCCAGTTTTATTGAGATGTAATTTACACACAAAAAATTCACCCATTTTAAGTATAGAGACTGATGAATTTTTGTAACTGTTTACATTTATGTAGTTACAATCAAGAAGATAGAGTCCTAACACACTAAAAAGTATTCTCATGCATCTAACCAGGAGATTCTCTCCCACAGACAACGACTGACCTGTTCTCTGCTTCATTTTTTAGAATTTCTCCTATATGAAACCACATATATAGTACATAATCTTTTGTGTTTGATTTCTTTCACTTAGCATACTATTTCTGAGATTCACCTATGTTGCATACGTTGTATATTAATATTTTATTCTTTATTACTGAATAGTAATCCATAGCATGTATATACCTCAATTTGTTTATCCATTTATCAGTTGATGTACACTTAGATTGTTTCCACTTTGAGCCTACACAAATCTCTGTAGACATGGTCCCTCTCTCATGGCTAAGTACCTAAGAGTAGTATTGCTGGGTCTTAGAGTAAGTGTATGTTTAATTCTTAAATGCTTTTTAAACTTTATGATTAATAAGAAGCCATTAGTGCTTTGAAACACACTAATTTTTGCCAAGTAAGTTGGAAAAAATAGAAAAGTAAATAAGTTCACTGTACTAGTACAATGATTGTAGTACATCCTATTAGAGGGCAGTTGAGCAGTCATGTATTGGAGCTTATTCATACCTTTTGACTTAATATTTCTATTCTTAGGAACTTATCATAGAGAAATATAATCATAGAAATACACAATATTTATGTACAGTGATACCTACTGAAGCTTTACTTATCATTGTAAAATATTGGAGACAACTCAGATATCTAATTTTAGGGGATTAGTTGTATAAAAGATAATAGATCTCAATGGAGCAACACCATTATGCCATTAAAACTTCCATTTTTAATATGTCTATTGGCCATCTGTATATCCTCTTTGAAAAGTGTCTATTCATGTCCTTTGCCCATTTTTTAATTGGGGTTGGTTTTTTTTTTTGTTTTGGTGTTGACTTTTATAAGTATTTTATAAATTCTGGATATTAACCCTTCATTAGATGTATTGGTGAATATGTTCTCCCATTCTGTGGGTCGTCTTTTTATTTTGTTGATAATTTCCTTTGCTGTGCAAAAACTTTTTAGTAGTAACAAGTATTTATTTTTCTCTTGTTTCCCCTGCCTGGGGAGATACAGCTGATAAAAAATTGCTACGAGCATTACCCGATATTTTGCTGCCAATGTTTCCTTCTAGGATTTTTATGGATTCCTAGACATTAAAGTGGAATAAGCCAGTCAGAGAAAGACAAATACCATATGATTTCACTCATATATGGAATTTAATGAACAAACCGAACTAGCAAGCAAAACAAAGACAGACTCACAGAAGGAGACCAGGTGACAGCTAGTGGCGGTGGAGAGATTAAGCAAAAAGGAAAAAGGACTCATGGACATGGAAACAGTATGGTGATTTGGGGAGAGGGGGGTATAAGGGGACTAAATGGCAATGGGAAAAAATACAGTAAAGATTAAATTTTAAAAATAAATAAATAATTAAATATTTTACTTTCAAAAACTCCCATTTTTAAATAAAGTTGAAAAACTTGGAGAAATGCTTACATGTAATATTTAAGTAGCGAACAGCCAGATAGCAAGTTGCACAAATGTGTGTATATGTGTGTATGTCTTCATATGCATATTTGCATAAGGAAAAAAAATGAACAGTGGTTGTATTTGAGGGTTAGGTAATGAAAAGTCTTGGATTTTTTAAAATAAAAAATGTTTATCTTTTCCTAATATCTCAGCCATTAAATTTACCCAGAGAGAAAACGGGTGCTTGGCTAGTGTGCAGAAGTGCAGTCTGGTAGAGAAAAGAGCTCAGGACTGGAAGTCAGGAGACTTGGGCGCTAGTCTCACCCTTATCTAGATGGACCTGAAATCAGCATTTTGGACTTAATCAATAAAAGGAAAAAGTTCTGCCCTGGCTGGTGTGGCTCAGTGGATTGAGGGCCGGCCTGCAAACCAAAGTCACCAGTTTGATTCCCGGCCAGGGCACATGCCTGCATTGCAGGCCAGGTCCCCAGTGGGGGGCATGCAAGAGCCAACCACACATTGATGTTTCTCTCCCACTCTTTCTCCCTCCCTTCCCCTCTCTCTAAAAATAAATAAAATCTTTAAAAAAATAAAAGGAAAAAGAAAAAGGCTTTTAAAAATCAGTTGATTTTAAATTCTGTTCTGAGACCCCACAGGCCCCAGTGGTTGGGCTCCACCTTTTATGTTCTGGCTACAACCTGGACCCCTGTACTATGTCTCTTTTGAGGTTTAAGACTTAGAATCCCATGGAAAACTCTGGAACTCGTTCTTTCTTCCTTTCCTCCCTCCCTCCCTCCTTTCTTCCTCTCTCTCTCTCTCTCTCTCTCTCTCTCTAATTTCACTGTTTGGAATTCTATGATTTCCTGGTGCAGCTTGAGAAATAGGGTACATCAATGAACTAGATCAGAGAATCTTATCTACATTTGCCATTTATTATCTTATCAGATGTGTAGTTTAGCTATGCATATTTATTCTTTTATTTTTATTTATGGTCCTGTGCTTTTCCCTTCTTTTTTGTTTCCTTGAGTTCCTTTTTTTTTTTTATTGCCTTTAAATATAGCTATTAGTATGTGGTTATTTGGCAGAACAAAATTTATGGGTTGATTTGAAGGGCAGGCTCCACAAAACTCTATTATAAAATATATATACTTATATTTATTTTATAATAGATATTTATAAAATATATTAAGAATAAAATATATCAATAATATAAAATATATTAATACAAATCTATAGTTATGTGAAACTAGTAAAATTGTCTTCATCTAGAGCAATGATTCTCAAACTCGACTGTACATCAGAAGCACTTGGAGGGTCTGTTAAAACAGAAGAACGGAATTTCCAGTGGGTGATGTTGTAATCAGCAGTTTTCGAACCAGTTATGTGTGGGAGGGAATTGTAGGAGGTTAGCATGTATCTAAAAATGTGATTTGGGAAGTCTCTTCAGATTTCTCTACAAAATTAACACGTGTCC